TAGGTTTGTCATTTGACAGTGTTATTAACTGCTGGAAAGCAATTTTTATTTGGACAATTACTATAGAAATCGCCAGGAAAGTTAGATATCAAATCTGCTGTTAACTACCAACTCAGCCTAACTTGCTTTAAAAATTCCCTGTTTTCTTGTTTCATAGTATACATTAGCTCCCTAAGATGGATGATTTAATAGACTATATGCAGGGGAGTATCTGGGTCTGACTGGGTTAAAGCTCAGTGGGGCAGAAATGTTGGCATGTGGCCTTGCGACGCATTATATTAGAAGTGAGGTAATTTAGATTACATAATTTGAGATCTTTTTGTTTCCATTAACTTATCTTACATGCTAAATTGTAATGCTTTCTTCTCCTACAACAGGAGATTCCTGTAATGGAAGAACAGCTCAAGAAGCTGCTCACTGATGATCCTTCTGTTGTTGAGTCATCCTTAGAAAAATGTGCAGAAGTTGCCCATCCGGAAAAGACTGGTGTTATTCGTAGGTTTGTTTTTTCTGATACCTGGAGATACAAAACTCCTGCCTTGTATTCTCATACCAGCTCCCTATCTTGTTTTGTTCCTGATTTTTCGTAGGATCGATTTACTTGAAAAATGCTTCAGCCATGACACAGTAGAAGAAATTATTGATTCTTTGGTAAGCCTTCTTACAAAATGGTTCTGCTAGTATGACTATCTCAAATCTCTAGAAGTAACAGTGTTATGGGTCGCCAGGAAATCGAGGCTGGTAGAAGAAAAGATACATGGTGCATTACGACTCTACGTAGACTTAAAGAAAGCTCACCGTTATCTTTGAAGGTGGCATTGAGATCTGTGAGTTCACAATTAACTTTGCTTGTAAACATCTTCAAAAAATTCAAATTCCCTTTTCTCAGACTCATATAGCTTCTGTAAACGACTCCCAACAGATTCGGGAAGGAAGATTACAAACACTTGACCAATGCTTAATCCGAGAGTATAGAATGTCGCTACAAGGATTAATCGGGCCAATGTCCGGCAATTTTTGCGAGGTATGTGAATTTATAGAAAAGCTTGCCATTGCAAACAGAGTAAGGTCACTAATGAGTTATGTTTTAATGGTGAAAAGGGAGTACGAGCTCGACTGATAGACAAGGACGAAGCACCAAAGGTATTATGTTAAATTATATTCCCATAACCCATTACTGTGCTATAAGCAAGCCATTAATGATAATAATTGGTGGGTGTGCAGTGGGATCCACCGAGCTTGGAGAAAGTATCAGAGGACATGGTTGATAATTACTTCTCAGCCTTGACTCCCACGGAACCAGATCTTGAGCTTCCTGTCAAACTCAGAGAAAGCATTTAGTTTCTTGGTGAAACAAACTTCAAATTGGCTAACATCACTCCCTTAGTAAACGAAAAGACCTTGTTCGTTGGGAGACTGATTTCATTCTTCTAGAAGCAGAATGTGTTGCAGGATTTTTTTATTTTTTGCCACAAACTTTCGTAATTTTGTATTGACCAAAATAGTACTTAAATTTTTAATAAATTAACTATTAATAAAAGGAATTTACTAGTTACGCTTTTGATGCCTTATCCATACATGGAAGCGCTTTGGTTATACATAGGCCTGGGAATTCGAACCGAACCGATTTGTCTGAACCGAACCGAACCGAGATTTGGACAAATCGGTTCGGTTCTTGTTGATTAAGTAAAACCGATCGGAATGATTACAATTTTGATTCGGTTAATCGAAATTTTCGGTTCGGTTCGGCCGAACCGAACGGTTAACCGAAGAAACCAAAAACCCTAACCTAATATTCCCAGCCGCCTACGCTTCTTGAGTTCTTCAATTATTTTGTTCTTGACCTTCTCTTCCATTACCCTCTCTCTTCTTCTTCGATTCATCATCACCAATTCACTATCATCTTCTTCTTCGATTCATCATCACCATCATCTTCTTCCTCGATTCATCTTCACCATCATCTTCTTCTTCTCCGATTTGTTTGCTGCTTCTTCAATTCACCATTCATCATCATTATCTTCTTCTCTGTTTCGTCATCATCATGTTCTTCTTTGATTTACACTTCTTTTTCTTTGGTTCTTCTTCAACCATCTGCTTCGCCGATTACACCGCGAGCTTCACCCTTGAGATCTCAGCCGCTGGCGTCTCTTCCTCGATTCATCTTCTTCGTTTGTTTTTTTTTTCAATATATATATTTTTTTTTTTACCTTTTTTTTTGTTTTGGATTGGCCCATTAAAAAACTATTTGGCCCATTAAAAACTATTTGGCCCAAATTCTTTTTACCGAAAAAACCGAATTAAAAAAACCGAGATAACCGTGTTCGAACCGAACCGAACCGAATTCTTAATCGGTTAGTTTCGGAATAGCTTTCAATTTCCGAAATAACCGAAAAACCGAGTAACCGAAACCGAATAAACCGAACGGTTCGAATTCCCAGGCCTAGTTATACATGTGAACACGTTTGCATGTAGACCTAATTCAATTTGGTGCGGTCAAAAGTCTCATCAAAAATGAAGTTTTAGAGTTAAATTTTAAAACAATTAACAAACGGACAAACCCTAAGCAACTCAGGTGTCATGTCTCTCCTCCGAGAGTATAGAATGTCGCTACAAGGAACAATCAGGCAAATGTCTAGCAATTTTTGTGAGGTGTGTGAGTTTTCCGGTATGAAAAAAAACTTGACATTGCAAACAGAGTATAATGTGTCAATATTGATGAGTAATGCTTCAGTGGTAAAAAGGGAGTACGAGCTCGATTGATAGACAAGGACGACGAAACACCAAAGGTATTATGTTAAATCATATTAAGATTAACCCCAACACTGTGTATATAAGTAAGCCATTCATGATAAAAATTTGTGAGTGTGCAGTGGGATCCACCGAGCTTGGAGAAAGTATCACAAGACATGGTTGATGATTTACTTCTCTGCCTTGACTCCCACGGAACCTGATCTTGACCTTCCTATCAAACTCAGGGAAAGCATTTAGTTACTTGCTTGAAATTGGCTTTTAATTTCGTAACGTCACTCATTGCTAAACGAAAAGATCTTTGAATTTATTCTTCCGGAAGCAGAATGTGCTGCAGCTCTCTTTTTTATATATTTTTCCTAATTTTGTATTGAGAAAAATTAGTACTTGAAAAAGGTAAAAATTAATAATTGGAATCTCTATACTATTAAAAGAGAAGTACAAATGAAAATGGGTCGGGTTAAAATCAGAAAATTGACCCGAAATTCTGAAATCGGATCTTTGAATTTCTTTTGAAATATAAATTCGAATTAATAATGAAAAATCGAAATAAAATCAAATATTTATGGAAATCAAATAAAATCTTATTGTACTTATGGTAATTAATAATAAAAGCATATTCCGAACAATATCATACATTAATTACGTATAATAAATTTGTTCATATATTTTTGGTACTAATTCCATAACAATCAACGTTTTTGTCATTAATTTCGCTCATTTTAGCCAATTATCATTAATTGAAAGATATTTTATTTGCTTCTAAAGATTTCTAGAAAATTTATCACAAATAACTCATCTGTTTTATAAATTAAATTGATATTTTTATTTTGGTCGTGTAAATTAAATAGATATGAAATCCATGTAACTAATTTTAATTTAATTAGATTAAATCGAAATTATGATATTTTCATACTTATAGCTTACCAAAGAAGTTTAATTTTCAATTTATAAAGATTTATTGAATATGATTTTAGAATTATTCAACAAGATGATAAGTATTTATTAAATTTTGTGAATCATGAAAAATAATAATTAATTTTTAATCATTATACTTCATCTTTCAATCTCTCATCTAACAAATAAGATACATATTCTATTATTACTATGTCCAAACTTCATTTTGTTGTATGACTAAATAATATTCCCATTAGAACTGTCAAAGCGAGTTGATTCATCCCGTTAAGTCCGTTTTGCGATAGACAAAAAATATTTTGACTTGTAGTTAGTCGGTCCGCACGACCCGCGGGTAGCATATATGAAATACAAACCCGTCCCGCGAATGTATGCAGATTTGCGGGATTGTCCATGGATTTTGTTTAAATAATTTTAAAGTAACCAAAATTTAAAATACTACTAAAATAAATAAATAAATAAAAATACTATTAAAAGTTTGTTTAAATTACCACATGTTGAATAAATTATAATTTTATCAATAAATACTAATATGCGGGCTGATCCGCCAACCCGCGGATGAAAACCGATTAAACCTATGACCCACTGCGAATTAATCCATGTGGCCCGCTTATTTGCGGGTTTAATATATTTTCCCAAATCTGCCCCATAGTGAGATGATGTGGGCTCGACCCGCGGTTTTTGACCTATTTTGATTGCTTTAATTTCCATGAATCTTCTAATTTTAGAATTTTAAAACACAAAATTCTATTTTGTAAATCATAATTAATACGATGGGTATATTTATAAACAATTTTACATTTTCTCTACAATTCGTTATTATGAATATTTATAAGTATACTACACGATTCGTTCTACTAAAAAACACACAATATTAAACGCAACGTATGTAAACCAATATTCTCCCGCGGTGGACCGCGGGTCCGATCCTAGTTTACTACTTAAAACTTTTGATCCTTCTCCATACATGATTGCGCTTTGTGTATATTTGCATGGATCTTTGAAGGCATTATGCATTAGTGTCGTAACTCCATCTTCGGATCAGCTCAAGATGAGGAACACGTAATCGGAAGCAAAGGAGATTTGAGATAAGATTTTGTTACAAACTATAATCGCTGCTTGGAATTTAATTAATTGTAAAAAAAAAAAGTTTGTATTTTTGCGAAAAAAAATTCAAAAAACAAATTTGTTATTTTGTCTTTTGTTTATTTTATTATATCATTCTCCCTTACAGGTACACTCACTAAAAAATAAAATTGGCAAAGCTACACGAACCAATTTGAATGGGCTCAAACTACTTCTTTCAAACAGGCCCAAATCTGAAAACGAGGCCTCTTTCTACTTACTTAGTATAACTACATAAATTAGTAAACAGTTTATTTTATGGTAAAGCTCAATTAAGTAAAAGTTTAAATCAACTAACAGTAGTTACAGAGGAAAAACTCTGATTAACAATCCTAAACGATGACGAAACTCTATCATGCTACGTTCATTGTACTTTAAATCCCCAAAACCCAAAAACCATTTTCGTTCTCGCCCAGTGGAATCGAAACAAGGAAGAAGAAAAATGAACCAACAGTTAATTAGAAAAGCTCGAGACCAGCTATGGCGATTCGGCAATCGGAGTATCTGCTCGACTTTACACAAGGTCTTCAATCTTCATCACCCTCAATATTGCTCTTAGGTTTTTTTTGTTCTGAAATTCAACGAACATTGGCTTGATGATTTCGATTAGGTCAACAAGCCACCTCTCGCGCTTCGATCGCTCACTCAATCGCTCATGGTAACGATAATCTAATTTGTCATTCTTAGTAGGGATTAGGGATTGTGGCTGGATTTTTTCATTTGTAGTCTATCAGCGATTAGGGATTTGTGTAGGATAAGACTGGATTTTTTCAAAATAGAGAAAAAAATAGTGTAGTCTATCTCTTGCAAAATAGAGATTGGGTTTTAGGAGTATGTGTTTGTCTGATTCATTGATATTGGTTATTGAATTTCTGATTCTCAAAACTTATAAGCTTATTTGTTGGCTATGGTTGACCATTTCTCCAACTCGTTTTGCTTCAATGTTGCTTGATTTGCTATATCCCTTGCAAACAGTTTCTATTTTGGTTTAGAATTTTTGGATGCTTCATGGTTACTTTAATGTTTAAGAGTTCTAAACTTTGTTGCTTTGAGTTTGAGAGTTTAGTTTTCCTTTTACATTGCCATTCATTGTTTTGCTTCTTTGATCCGTATATTATAGTACTCTAAGAACTCTTACACAATAACTTAGACTCTCTAACACTTGGTTAATCTAACTACACAAAAAAACATCTTCATTTGGGCCTTAATTCATCATCTGCAGCCCATTGACAGCTCAAACCCAACTTCTTCTCTAGTCTTCATCTTTTTCTTCTCATGAAGCAGCTTGTTCTTCTTCTAGGGTTTAGTCGTGTTCTTGATTTTTCATTTCCCTGTTGGATTTCTTTAACAGGCTTCTCATTGCTATGATTGTTCAGAATCATTATTAACAAATAAAACAAAGTTTGGTTTTGTAATCTTTTATTCATAATTTAGGATTTAGGAAAAATATATTCTATATTATAATATATAATATTCATCTAATTATTTCTCCAGAATTTTCCAAA